CATAATGTAAAACTGAAACACGTGGTTACTGTTTGACTCTTTAAGTGCTGTTGGAGTTTCAGCAGCAGTTTAAACACAGTTTAGTTCTTCATCATTGAGACTTTTTTTAGTTGAGCAGATAAGTCATAGTTACTTTTTTCATCTGTCAGCTCTTTCCCTGTTGCTGCTTTCTTCCAGAAATGGTTAATAGCTCCATAATAATAATCTTCATGTTCATTTATATAGACTTTACATACAGTACATGCAGAAGACAGAGTGCTGAAATGAACTCAGTATCTAAACCATTTTTTGTGCATTAAAGTTTTTGTGCATGAAGACAATGTGTGTGTGTTGTTCAAATATGTAATTAATATAATAGCAATATAATAAAAAGAGCTTTTCCTTCATTTAAAGTTATTTTTGGTGCTTAATTTGTTTTGTGAAATATTTTCCAGTAAAAACTTGAGCGGGATTCAAACTATGCCTGGTCAGTATAGGCAGCAATAACACAAATAACACAGTGTTCACAGTTAAGATGATAACATCACAATAATGCAATTTAGTATAGTTCGAGGCTGAGTGCATTATAAAACGGTCAGGAGTTCAGAGGTGTCATTTATATCAAAGTACTAATGCAGATGTTTGAATGTGTATTCGAACTCTTACTATTAGAAACAGATGAAATCACATGAAAGTGGATCGATGTGAGTCGGCTCGTTCGGCCCGTCTTCATTTAGGATCAGTAACGTGCTTTAGATCACCTGCTGCCCTCTATCGTCTGTATGTGCTACTGACAGCTTGCATATATAAGCACACAGATTCTCACGCCTCGGTCTGCTGTGGTGAAAAGAATAAGAAAACAAAGATTTGGAGGCATGTGACTCTGATTTTGATTGTATGCATTCATATGTCGTTAGTTTGTTATGTGTGGATAACGCACATTACCACACAGTGTCACGCAGGAAGAAGCGCAGCTCTGCCTCCTTGTTTCTCTGCTAAAGCCGCCTCCTTTCGGACGCACAGGATGCTGATTGGTCTTGTGTTTTCGGCGACAGCCTCTAGAACGTGTCCTGATTGGCTGAGAGCAGGTCTTTGCGCAGACGAGATGCAAATCCAGAGCGGTGCCGGTAAAAGGCTGACGCCAAGATCGGAGATGGCCATTCATCTGCAGCGGAAAGGACATAGAAGTAGTTATGATGAAAGCGCTTACTTACCGAAGCAAAATCTGAAATACAGTCAGATACTCTTTCTTTTTCCCCCTCCAACGTCTGCCCATTTCCTTCCACTTTCAGTATGAGCGGAAGTTTGTTCTGCTGAGCTTTGAAGACTACAGAACCCATCTCAAGTCTGCCTTTGACTTCTACTCTGTATGGAGAACGCATTAAACACATCTGAAAGCGTCGGGGACATGTTTGCACGGATTTAAATGTGTCGCGTTTGGTCGGGGTAGTTTGACAGACAAGTACTGGACGACGCGCGCACAGGAATCCGCTTCTTGGCCGCAAACAGGAGGAAAGCAGGAGGCTTATAGTGAAAGTCAGCGAGAGGAGACTGTGGACGCACAGATGGTGTTTCCGTGGGACGCCAAATACGGTACGACGCATTATTCTGGTTATTGTTCACGATAAAGTATGAAGACATGCGCAGAGAACATATTTGTTCTCGTCAGCTGTCACATTAGTTTGACTGACTGAGCTGTTGGAGAAATGGTCTCTGGTGCGGTGTTAGTCCGTGGTTTGTCGGTCCGTGTGTGTTTGTGTGTGAGCAGTGATGGTGATGTCCATATACTGGAATGTGTGTCATTGTACAACAACGTAGTCATTTACAGGCCTGTAGAAAACTGTAGCTTTATACATAATATAGCATAATCCAGCGTTCGTGTACCGGCTTACTCTGTGACATCCAAATCAGCTCAAACGATCATTGTCAGGTTATTGGTTTGATCCAAAGTCAAAGTCAAAGTTTCTTAGATTTAAATATACAAGCCCACCTTTTCTCAGTGACTGCGTTTGTGAATGGAAACAGAGAGTTATTGTGTGAACTGGTGAATGTGGTTTGTAGTGTTTGTAAAAGGGGAAAAGAGAGTCGGAGTTTTGCACTGCTACCAGAATTCTTCAGAGATTGATGCAAATGTTAACCATGTGTTGAAGTGTTCATTCTGAACTAACAAATGTGTGCTATAATACGAATGAGTGTTACCTGAGCTCACTAGGATCCAAAACTTTGGATTTGACTGAGCAGGTCATCAGGTTGGTGGTTCAATTCCCGGCTGCTCCAGTCTGCATGCCATCCTTGGGCAAGATACGAACCCCAGGGTGCTCTCTGTGCTCTCAGTGCTCTCTGTGCTCTCTGTGCTCTCAGTGTGAATGTGTGTGAATGTTAGAGCAAATGTGCTTGTATGAAAGGACGTGAATGAGGTGTGTTGTATAAAATACTTTGAAGGCTCCAGATTAGAAATTTAAAAATCAGATATAAGAATCAGTCAATTTAACATTTAGATACATGCTCT